TTGGAACAGCCCCAAAGAAGAGGCACAAAGGTAACGCGTGGACTATCCGGTATAAGCTACGAACTGCGTCTTCGTGTACCCGGTGTGTTCACATTAGAATACCGACGGCTTCGCGGAGATCTTACTCTCACATACCGGGTACTAACCGAAAGCGAGCATCCATGTACATCACTGTTGACTCTAGCCTCTTAAAAACAAAACCGAGGCAACCACCTGAAAATAATGACGCAACACTCTTGGTTGAATTGTAGAAAGTATTTTTTCTCACTTAGAATCTGTTCTCACTGGAATGCATTACCAAACTATGTGGTGAACGCACCAGACATGACGACATTGGAAAGACTCTTAGATTTTCATCTTGATGACAAACTATACACAACACTTTGATAAAGTGCAATGATTTAACCACCGATACTTTACGTTCCACGTTGGAACATTTCGATTTTAATTTTCTTTTGCATATCTATCCTGTGGGTCTTGTAAAGTTATGCTTTTTATCCCATCATACACCATTGAAGTATAGAACCATTATTCTCTAAGCGTTCAGAGGAGATACTCACAGCATTAGCTTTCTACTTAACATTTAAACCTGTGGTACCCATTACCAGGTGCCACACACGGTCTATGTTTTCTTGGCGCCTGTGACAGAACGCCTTCTAGCCAAGAGCAGAGTGGGTCGCGTGAGCCCTAGCTTTAAAAGCCGGACGAATCAAATTAAGCCCAGTCAAAATAGGTTTTATACCTCAAAACTGGTGCACTCTCAACATTTTCACTATCACTGCATAATGAGAGCAATCAAAAATACACATCTAAACAGTAACTAGTTAGACAGATGTACAAATCTCACTCAAGGAGCCGCATACACAAAGTATCTGTGACTTTCGCTGAAACAAGAAAACAGGACAAATACGGTAAGTTTGTGTCACGATACAAAGAAGTGCATGAGATTAAGCTTTAACTTTTGTGCGCATGTAAGATACAGACCTTTTGTGAGATCATGATTATGCGGAAGAAAGCGGTCAATTAAGGATAATTAAAACCACCAGGCAATCTCCAAGTAAGCCGCTTCATCTGCAAGTATGTTTAACCAATTCACAATTAAAACATGGTCCTTCTGCAGTAGTTCTGGGAATGCTACCAGGGAGCAGTATAACCAGAGGGATAATATACTTGTAGTTACAAATCTCAAAATTCAACTTCACAGTACGGAAAGCTCCTTAAGTCTGAACGCAAAAAGTAAGATTTTCTGACTTTGTAAAATGTTCCAAAAACGTCAGTGGACCAAGATATGTTTCCGGACGAATAGACACTGAGGTAATAAACAGTGGATGAAGTAGGCATACCTTTGTCATTCACAGTTAATGGTGGTCAGAAATCTCAGATTTTTCGCAACGCATGATTTAATAGTAGGTGACTTCCTTTTACATTGTCAGTTAAGGAGTGGGCACCGTAAAACTCACGTGTTGCTAGATCCAACAAATAAAATAGGACCCTCCTTGATAAGATGCAGATCGGAACAGGTAACAGGTGTCAAATCCAGCACCGCATGTCCAGTATTATCTGTTGTCCCGATGCACTAAACCGGGCATTTTGAATGGTAATCGTATGCTCATGCCATTTTGGTAGATATGACGGTATCAGCCGACCTAGGCGATGCACCTGAGTTGAAGGTTCGGGAACTATTCAAGTCGAAAGGATTGGACTTCACCCACATGGGGATGACCAAGCACAATCCTATTCATCATCTTGAGGCTGAGCTTCGCTACAACTTTTTTTCGGATGTTGTGTGAGGTAGCCTTTTTCACCGGCTGCTTCCGTAGTTTCACCCGTGACACTTCTGTATTTGGCCCATGGTGGTTCACCACGCGGTAGACCAGTGGCTCTGGGAGTACTTACCTCTTAGGTGGCAAAATGGAATTTTACCGAGGGGTGAGTAAATATAAGTACGCCAATTGGGTCATCAATCTGTCGCCCAACAAAATTAATACCACAATTATCTGTACCAAAACATGTAAATAACTACCTAATCACTACTGATAGCCATCAGTGACTAATCATTAGTGTGGGATAAATGAATTAGACAATTTGCGGTAATAACTTTTATAACTTAAAAGGTAAACACAAGCCTAAAATGCAGCGCAGCTAGATGGCGTCTCTAACGGTTCGCTCGTAGACCGTTGTTCTTTTGAGTCAGGTATTCGTTCGTCGGGTCGAATAATAGAGTTGAGTGAACACTAACGTGGGAGTATGGTTCGGCGGACTAGACAGAGGAGCGACCGAATATGTACAAGGCAAAAAGGACAAATGGGCTATCATTGTTCAGGACGTATCGATATAGAGTGGTGATGGTGGGATCTGCCATCCAGGAAGTGATTGGAAGAGAAGGTTGAAACAAATGAGAAGCCACTGATATCTGTTCATATTTGCTTAGGGATCACACATCAAAGCAACGAACCGAATGAATTTGGAGTACAACTTAAGATGTGTATTAGACGAAACAGCATCAAACTATGCCCAAAATGTCGGAACTAAGTAACAGCAGCCGTCTCATTGATGTGCATCACTACTTGATGTTATAAACGTGCTAAAAATAGGTGTTTTCTATGGCTGAATGATAATAATTAATTAAAAATAATGGTCCTTGTCCGTAATTTAAAGCTAAAGATGTAATAGTTAATAGGTAATTCGATTTTTTAACAAGGATGGTTTATGCTCTGTTTATAGTAAACCTGGTTTGTGGGTTAAAAAACTTCAATCAAATGAGAACCCCGCTACGTTAGTCCGTAGGTGCGTTTCATACTTTGTCCGTACCCTTTCGAGTTATCCATTTCTATTGCGCTACTTGCTGTTTTTACAGCAACACTTAATTCTGGTGTAATCGAGTTGGTTAGTCTCTCCATCGGAGCACGTGATTTTTGAGAGTGCAAGCTGGAATGTATATTTTTTAAGGTGTATGCTTAACAAAGACACCAAAATGTTTGCAAATATCACGAGTCACCGATGCGTACACCTTTCAGTTAAAGCAGGAACACTTACGAATTACCGTCGACTTGCTCTTCCTTCATCGGATGATGTACGCTGCAAGTAGTTGGTCAGCATAATGTTGGGTGATACCCTCTCGCAACATGGTAATCATCGACCGGTTTGCCTTCGCCAGGTACAAATGGCAGAGCTGTGATTCGAACACTGGATATAGGGGTTATCAGCTGAAACCTTCACTTCACGCTTTCGAGCCGTGAGCGATTCTACTCATAATGATTAGCGAGTCAATAGAGATGATATTGAAGCACTCGTCTGTTGAAATACAACGAGCGGTCTTCGAAGAAAGCGACATGGAAAGCGTCGGGCTGTGCATTATGTCAACAGACTTCATCTTCTCGCTTGTCTGAGTGAGATTTATTCAACTCTAATCTGCGCAATGTTCCAATGGAGAGAAAGATCGCAGCTAATTGAGGGGATTATCGTCGGGGTAGTTACGTTCGTACCAGTGGCGATGAAACTGGAGGTCAATTAGCTGACCCCTCGCATCTCTTTGGTGGGGTCGGGGGGACAACAGCGATTTACCCGACCCGGTTAATACGATTAAAGTAGGGTATGCAGGATAGCTACACCCACTCAAAGACACTTTTAGTGGGAAACCTAGGTAGGAAACTGCAAAGGTCACGAGCTTTCCTCGTAATCTTGTGGCGCGGGTTGGAATCCACATACGGGTGGGCGTTCTCGCGGTATACTCAACCCGCGTGCGACTGTTCGTGGTCGCACGGCAACGACGCGCCGTTACAGCGTACAGCTGATACTTTATTTTTATTGTATTTTCAAGATACATTGAGATAATTCACGATTCTTGTAGGGTATTGACCAACATACTGCACGTCGTTTCCATGTAAACTCAATATTTAGCTAAACAAACAGCTGATTTTATCCGACTGGTGAGGTTGCACTCTGTAGATTTATCACAATTTCCTATTAGGAGGCTGTGGAGCTGGTGGGCAGGCAGGGGTGTGAGTATATATAGTGTTGGTCAGCTATCGCCCCCCATGACTCAGAGGCATAAGGTGCTGGCTTGTGTTGAAAGCCACTAACGACCATGGTTTCGATTCCCAGCAGGGGACCGAAAAAATGCACACCGCTGATAAGTTCCACGTGGATGAAACAGCCGTCTGGTGCTTTTCCGGATTGGTAGCTCAATTATACGGTTTCCAGTCCAACTGCGATAAGCCAAAATAAAATATCTCAAACTATCTGATCAAGCAAATGTATAGATTATATATGCTTTTGTACAGACCTAAAGTATGTAATATAGCCCACGTTATTAGACGGATCAATATGGGGACAACCGGCAGATCATCGGTTGATTTTCCTTAAATACTACTAGCTTTGTGGAGCTTTAAGCATCGATATTTTAACCCAATCTTGTTGGAACATTTTGTACTAGAGAGTGTGTTATGCCTAAATTTAGACTTCCTGTGTGTATAAAGCACATTCTTTACTTGAATTGATTGGGCACCTGGTATGGCTTTCTAGCCAGTTTCAACCAGTTGGCTGCGCGTACTCGCGTTCTCCGCACTGGTATTGATACGTTCTCCTTCTGAACCACATTCGCTTCATTAGGTGCTTCCAAATTATTAAGAACCTTATTTCGGATACCTGCCAAGTCGTGTATTGTGTTTCCAAATCATCCAATGTAACCTTCTCCTCCTTTGATCTTGGAGGTACCCATGCGCTACTGTCAAATTATGTTTGAGCTGTAGATTTGCTGACAGAACCGCTTCCTATTCACTTAAAGACACCCAAACATTCTCCCGTTTTTGAGCAGATATGAAATTTCTACACCAGTATAGCCTTACATTTCACACATGTTTTCAAAGGTCCATTAAAATGCTATCCGTCAATCGTGTTTTATCTGTAGAATATAACGTGCCAACGTTTATTCCACAAATTTCATCATACCATAGAACGTTGGTCGATTCGAACTGATTCATCTACTGAGAGAGAAGGAGATGGAAATTCAATCCTTGTTGGACGAGCTAGACAAGAACCAGACGCAAATGAATGACATTCAGGCGGCCTTAGCCGAAGCGCAAACTATTATCTGCCAACAGCAAGACGAGTTGGCCGGATGGCGTATTCGTGCAGCTCAAAGTGCAACGGATGCGGAGGCATTCAAGGTATATTCAATTTTATGTGTTGGGACGCATTTCTCTTTTCTTCCCGTGGCGAATGGTAAGGACACCACATGAGACCTAGTGTGACTACTAGTTAAGCTACTGAAAGCGCAGGTAGGATAAAAAACAGTTTAGCTAACTCTCCCGGAATATCAACAGTGGAGTAGTGATACGTTATCAATTTTCATCGATAGTGACCAGCCGTGGAATTGAAGAAAGAGCTGGATGTTATATGAGACTATAGCGTAAAATGGACGTAAACTCACAACACTAATATTCAAACACTGGCCTAACTATCTAACACCTTATACTTGCCAGCGGGAATGGTCAAAGGTGCAACGGCCCATTGAGCGCCCAAGTGGTGATCCATGCCTGGCGCATGTAATCCAGAACTATACAAAAAATTTTCGACCATTTTGCACAATAAACTAAAAAACTAAATGTTTGGAAAGATGACCCTCATCTATATTGGGTGGGGGCCAACGAACGATAATGGAGATTGGGACACAAGTTGTACCGTCGGTGTGCGATCAGCTGAAGCTCAAGACGTCTACGAAACCTACCAAATTCCCCACATTTCTCTCAGCTTACATCAATGGATGGCCGGCATTTACCTGATGGCCAACAGCAAGCAAAATCGTCGTCGAGGTTAAGCCCAATTCGCTTCACCAGCAAGTAAATGGAACGAGGGTGGCAGTGGGATGGATTAGGTTCCAAATCATATATTGTCATAGTAGTATTATCAACAGTGTGCGCAAGAATGTGGGCTGATTGAGCACAATAAAACAGAAAAACGCCAGTTGACAACTGCCAACAGACAAGCATCCCACGTCTTCTTCGAAGGTTCACCATTTCGGCCATTTAGCTGCATGCAGCAAAACAAAGCGTCGGAGACAGCAAGGTGACTTTCGTTAATAGCCTCACATCTCAGACAATTCCGATAGTACAGAGCAACGCCGCCACCGCGAGATGGACGATCATTGCGAATAACTGACATATCACTGATTTCGATTTCCGTGTCGAGCATGTCATTGGAGAGCCAGGTTTCAGTTAGAGCTATGATATCTCAATTGATTGTGTTATGTCGATGGAGCAATTCAGGTAGCTTAGAGTTGAGCCCCTGAGCGTTTGTGTAGCAGCACTGTATCTTTTGACACATTAGGAGCTCGGTTCGTTGGGGTTGACCGGCACAGCTTTTGTCGGTCTGCGTACGTTTTTTGTCACAGGCGTTTGCAAATTTGTCTGATCTGACTCAGGAACAACCGGGTACGGTTCGTCTGTATCCGTGGCCCGTACTTTGTTTACGAACGGTCTTAAACGTACTTCAGGTGGCCCACGTTTTCTGTTGTCGTGCCACGCTTGGACGGTCTTTGATACCATCTCAGGTGTAGCCACTGTGACTTTCAAACGTTTTGGCCCGTTACCCTGATAGTTTAAGGAGGCCGCTAGACGGGTGACATCGAAAGTCACGATAATTTGTACGTTGTAGAGCTCCGTTATGTACCTCCACTCCTCTATATCGGGCTTCTGATGTTCATTTATATCGCCATGGTTAAGTTCTGGAACACCGTGGACCAGCACTACTTTCGTCGTCGCATCATGTCGTGACGTGACTGGGTCGGATTTCCATTTTTGCCTTTCTATCCATGGCTTATCTGGGAAAATGCGGGCGCTGAGAGAGGAATTCGTTGGCTTGTGGCCTGTAAGTAGCACATCCTCCAGGTCGCGTGTGTTACCAAATGTTACTCGTAATAACCGAGGTTGTCCTAAATGCGGCGAGGATGAATTTCGGGAAATGCGCGTAAGACTAGTTGGAGGAACGTTAATTTCGAGAGCACAGCATATCTCTGCCCAGCGGTTTTGTTCTTCCACTTGCCTACCTTTTAACGACTCGCTCGTGCGCTCTGGTACATTTGAACACATAATTGCCAGCGGTTTTTTGTTGTACACTAACTGCTTATCCTGAGAGTTTTTACCGATGGACATTTGTCTAGTTTGAGTACTCATCTTGTCCCTTGTGCAGGGAGAGCCTGCGCTGCTACATGGCTGCATACGCGGAACGCCGTTTGTTGTGCTGTTTGTGGGGGTCAAATGTTGCTGTCCAACCCGTGACAGGGTTGAGCGTGCAGTTTGTGCATAGCTGTTTAAGCCTTGAGACACTTCACAAAACTTGGGAGGTCGTTCGACAGGCCTGTCTTCGCTGGCGTCCATCAACAATGGTGTGCTATTTTCACCGTACTGTGTGGCTTCTTTACTAAATGGCTCTCGCCTTTTGACAGGTCTAGGATTCGGGCTACTTAATACACTAATCTGCGACTCAAGTTCAGTGGTTTTCTTACCAAGCTAGCGGTCAATTCCTTTTGTTCTGTGACCGTTAGGGCTAAACTTTCACATTTCGCCATAAGCGCTTGAATGATCCTGGCCAACGGTTTGGTTGAACATGCGTCACACACACACAAGTCGTCGATCGACATACAGTGTTTTGTAGCCCCATCGAAGGAATTGGAACAAAGCGAGCATGTGGTGACCGAGGTGTCTGGACCACAATTGACCTTGGATTTGTTGTTCATTTGCGTAGCTGAGACACTGCATCGGCCCATCATGTGCGCACGGTGAACAGTGGGCAGTGAAATATCACAAAGGCTTTGCGTGGTAAAACGCGCTAAGGGAGTTACAGCGGTAATTGCATGATCACAAAATAGCCTCTATTTGTGGTACCTAGAGGTGCACTGCAATAAGTAATGTGTTGTCTAGTAGCCTTAAAAAAGCTCCGTCGAATGGTATCCCAATGTAGTGGGAAAAATAAACAACAACGCAGTTTTACAAGCTGGTCTTACCGAATGAACTGTCAAAGACGGTGTTCAGGATTTACCAGTGTGTCGTTAGTAGTACTGCAGAAAGACTGAATCCGTTGGATAGGTCTTGACGATCCGAGTCGATTGAGTGTACTTCCGAAGATGTGGCACAAAATGGAAGGCGAATAGAGAGAAGTAATACAATTATCCAGGAGCGCGCGTCACGAGTGTACGCAAGCGTCCGCAAGGGCTCCGTAGGCACTTCACTGTTGTACCTATAAGTGGCTATTCCATATGCTCACATTTTGGGAACCTGCATTTCATCGACATTGTTAAAAGTAACGAAAATCCCTTCTTCCATGTTCCTGACCGCTATTTTTATGGTTTTCGGTCTTTTGTCTTCCACTCCAGGGCAGCTTTGTACGCCTAAGCAGATGGCTTAACTCTGGGGGTTTATGTGGTCTGCGTGAAAGGTAGGTGTTTGGACGATTCATGCTGGAAAGTGCGGATGAATTTTGCTCAAATGTTTTACCCACCCCTTGCGCCTCTTGACGCAGCAGTTGGAAGCTCTAGGCTGAGTTTTGTTGGCTCCGACGTCTTTTTGACTGACACCCGATTTCTCTCGTGACCACGGTTTGCTTCGAAGTAACCTTCAGTAACTTCGATCGCTGGGATCGCATCGGATTTAATGCTTGCTTACGTCTGCAGTAGGTAAACCTGATAGTCATGTCCTTGTTTTCCGTTGTTCTGACTTGTTTCCGAATAAGATAAATGAAATCCACGCACAAGTGAATCAGAAAGTAATCCAAGACATATTTCGCAAACCCATGTGAGGGAAAGTATTCAGGCTTATTGTGCTATCAAGGCTCGGTAGGGCGCACCATTGACTGGGTTCATGTAAATTCTTGATGTTCTTGACTCTCCGGAGTGCGCAGTAGGTTCCAATGACGTGTGGTTGTGCTGCATACGTGAATGCTGTGAGCTGCGAAATGTACGGAGGATGGAGAGAGAGAGAGAGAGAGCGACTGCGTGATCTGGCGTGCACATAACTGTGGGCAACTAGTTTCTCCCCTCATCCTCGGGATACTGTTCCCAGATATCCAAGAGTTCGTGATGGGTTAAACAGGTAGTCTTAAGAGCAGTTCATGGTTTGTAGTAGAGGCTTGTATCACCTATATGCACAGAACCAGTAGAATAAGTGGCATGACAAAGACGAATTCACCTTGATGATTAGGTAGCCTCTGCATAGGAACGGCATACGTACCACTAGGAACTCCCACCGTAGCGCAGAAGCTGCAGCTTTGTGGGGGTAGAATCTACTGAGATGGATAAACTAGATCCGGCCGTTAAATCAGCAACCATTTGGTGCATTTAAGTCGAAAAGACCGTGATGGGTACTCTCTGTGAGAAATGCAGAGTTCACTCTTCCCATGGATCCTCCCTAGCCGATTCTAGATAGGCTGTTCAGCTATTTATATAGCATTATGCTGCAGCTGGTATCATGCAATTACGCGTCGAGAAGTCAGGAAGATTTGCGATGAATCCTACCAACGCGCGGTATAGGCTGGCTTTGAGAATCCCATCAAGCAGGCAACCATATGTTGCCTAGCCTCTGTCGATAACACAGTACGAAGATAAACAGTTAGAATTTGTTATGGAAACTGCTTCAGCTAGGTGACCTTTATAAGTAGTAATAAACCCTCGGTGCTTTTGGCATGCGATCCTCGGATATTGGGTATCGTATCTGGCCTAACAGGTATGTCGAAAGTTGTATGACGCGTAGCCAATAATCCCGAAATCAGAACAAGTTTGGATGGCGATGTCTATGGTACTACAGACCAACCTTCTATGGAGACTACCTGTCCATGGCGACCAGCAAAATACCTAACGTTTTCTCCTTTGAGTAATGTCCCTATGGATGAATTTGTCATGGCGAACACTTTTTGTCCGTCTCTTGACTGGTTGCCTTGGACATTTTTAAATGTATTAATATACACAGATAATTCAATTGAGCAAAAACCTCATTTGTTCAGGATTTTATGTGTATCAATGTCAACGACGAATTACAGTTAAACGGGTGGAGATAAAAAGTGCTATTCAATCCACTGCCTAAAGCAGACTGCCGGGGGGACAAATGAAAATGACTTCATTTGAAACTAGCAAAAAAATTCGTGTGATCAATTAGTACGGTTCAATCACAGAGCGTGGTAAGGGTTAGAGGCGAACGCGAAGCACCCACATACAGGCCAGTAGGCTATGGTCCAATGAATGAGTTGCACAGTGCGCAGAGCATGTGGTAACAAGGCACTGTACTGGGGCCGATTTTGTTTCTCATCCATGTAAACGACGTGCTACAGCGACTCCAATCAGCTTGTGCATTGTTCGCAGATGACTTGAAGGTGTGGAGAGTAATCCACACACCCAATGATTGTGATTTGCTTCGGCAGGACCTCGATCGCTTCTCCACGTGGTCTGCAGAGGTCAACTTCCCGATCAACCCGGTCAAGTCGCAATTCATGAGGCTGGGTAAGTGTGAGCACAGTCGAACAACCGTCGCTTCCCGCGCCTTTTGTGCTCGACCTCGGTGTACTCTCACGCTACGACCTAAAGTCCATGGACAATACGAACAAGATTTACCAAAACAGCCTTCGTTTGCTTTGGGCGCTCAGGCGCAGCTTCCGCACTTTGTCCGAAGAGATTGCCACTCGCCTCTTCGTCACAATAATACGACCAGTGCCAGAGCATGGCTCTACCGCTTATTGTCCTATCACGCGGGGTGAGGTAGAAAAGATTGCGCGAGTGCAACACGTAGCCACCAGCCTGATTACCAACTTACGAGGTGTACCGTACGAAGACCGATGTAAGAAACTAGGGCTGTACACCCTAGCCTGTCGTCGACTGAGGGTTAGCCTCATCATGACGCACCGGATATTACGTCTAAGTGATTACCCTAGGTTGAGACTACTGCTTCATCTGCGCACACCAAGCAGCACACTAGGATATCGGTATAAGCTTGTCGTATTGGATTTGAAGCGGGTCGCTCACCAACTCTTTTTCGAACGCAGAGTGGTAAATGTATGGAACGGAGCAAACTCTACTCGCTGCTTCGAACCAGTAATCAGTAATCACGACGCCATGGAGATAACAACGTCGGATCAGGTGCAAGCGGTATATGTTTCAACCAACAGAGATTAACCCCTTCTAGCCGAATTCACTTTTGACCGTGTTTAAGAAAATGATTATTTGTGAATTCACTAACATGCAGATGCTAAATTAGATGGAGATAATCAATTTGAGCGTAAGTATAATTTTAGGTGGGAAGCAAAATCGCGATAACTGGGCAAAATAGCTATTGAATAAGTTTTTCCCTCTTCTTCATAGTATGGGTATATTGATGCGACACCACCACCATCATCTAAATTACAAGAACAATTTCGTACCAATTAAGGAAAGTCAAATAATGAGAAACAGTGTTAATCGTGAAATTCCCTAAAGCATTTCTTCTTCTTGCTGAAGCACAAGTGCTTACTGCACTTTGTCCACCTGATCATTGTCTGACTCTGACAGTTTGGACGCCTGCATCGTTGTCGTGCACTACCAACCATTTGCCAGTGACCCACAAAATCTGACCGAGTTGCCAAGTATGGAATAGGTACAGTTGGACCCTGATGTTCCGTTTCTTGGATCTCCGTTTACATTGATAATAAAGACCATCCCTTCTTCCTCATAGACATTTCTTTGTCTTGAATGAGAAGAGCATCTGCATTTGATAATCTGAAAGCAAACCAATCCCTTTGTTTCTGTAGAGGCACAGCCAGGGAGTTCTAGTCACTTCGACAGGGTAACCAGCTGTTGAATGATACCATGTGGGCAAAGTGGAAATATCCTGTGGTAGTATTTTCTGGACCTGCTATGGATCCGACAATAAGCAATCAGTTCATCAAGAGCATAAACAACCTTCATGAAGTTATTATACAGAGTGATGACGCTTGGACACTCCATAGAAACGTCTGGTTTCAATTCTCTGTCCCATGTTTGAATCTTGCAAACTGATTAAGCACTGTCAGAAGTGCTGGCAATAAAAGCTAATCTGTTATCAAACTGTTTGACAACTTTGCTCCTGCAAACTCATAATGACATGCTTGTCTTCAGTTGTCTCTCTGCCCTTCTTCTTCATGTCCGCGTCCTCACTGAAACTACACCCTAGTAGGCGATTTTGTTCTACTCTCCCGAGGGCTGGTATTCCCTTCTTCGCAAAGGTACGAAACGAACGCAATGAAGAAAAGTAGTTAAGAAAAGATAGTAGTGTTGACCTTGGCCCGAATAAATGATGCAGGTGGTATAATAAGCCTTCCACTTTCATCGATGCCAAGTTTACCAGGAATGGGATCAAGTTTACTTGTGAATAAATCAAGTGAATGCACAAGTCCTATTGTATCGCAAGGCACAAAGATGTTGCATACCCATTTGTATCGTTTCTTAGAAATATATTGCTTCAGAATGGGCTCCGCTTTGAATGGGTCCAGTTGCTAGTCAACCGCTAACATTCGGCCTTGTTAGAGATTCTTAAACTTTGAAATCTATGCACAAGAATTCCATGTATAAGACAATGAAGCTAGACGAGGTATCTTTCAAATGTTACCACTAGTGTCGAATGTGGCGAAAAAGGCGTATACCATACTAGTGCTAACAACTTGTAAACTTTGCATGTCCGATAATTCCTTCTGGTAAATTATTAGTAGTATTGCATAATACATGAGTGAATATTTTTGGTTCCGCATAGCGCACCTCGAAGTCGCAGTTCTAGCAATTATCAACAGAAATTCACGTCAAACTCATGTTCACACTCGCTACTTTCAAGTAGTTTAACTTCAAAGCAAACGCGAACTGCAGTGAAATGATACAGATTGCATCTAATGTACGTCCCGCAAATGCCAACCCCGGCACTGAACGGAAATATGGCGGTTGGACAGTTCGTTGAGATTGACAATTTGGTTTGCAAACATTTCGTCGCCTCACGCTGAAGCTTCCCTACGCTACTGCACGCTACGTAGCTACGCACTGATGAGGTCATCTCGATTGGTGATGAAACGTTTGCATCAAGATTGCCAAACTTAGCGAATTGTTTAACCGCCATCTGAACAACCTGAGGTACAAGTCTATTTTTCTATAGAATGGAAATATGTGCACTGTAGATTGATTTTGCGAAAGAAATGGTTTGAGGCGTTTTCGCCGCATACGGGTTAAAGTGATGTCAAAATTTTAGAGGTGTGGAAGGAACAATGAACAATCAATTTATACGGGTTAAGAAGCTTTGCTTTACAAGTTCCGTTGGATAGTTGGTGGGGAGATCAACATAACAATAGTGATGACAAGGATAGCAAAAAAGTTAATAATTTAAATATGGTAATGATGACATATCGTTTGCTCCGCGGTAGTCCTGCGATCCTCTTAGATTCACAGCACCCACAGTTAACAACAAATAATGCCATGGTATACTCCAGGTGTAGGATGGTGATGTAGCTTTAGGTAACAAAGTGCAAGTGGACGAGTGCATCATCCAACCGCCTTTTAAATACTGTTTGTGTGGGTGCAGAGTCGACCGATTCTGGGTGAGCATTCTACAGGTGACAGACACGAATGGAAAAGAAAATTCTGCGGCACTCCAGACGACTGTATTGTTCTGAGAGTTTTAATGAGTGGCCCCTCAGGTTTGTATTGCTGCTGAGTTGCAATAAAGGGCGGCACAGATTATGTGGGCCTCGCAGAATCAAGTATGTCATAATCAGGTCGCTTCATAGTCTGCGATAGCTTCCACTGAATACCCTAATCGTCGCAGCATCTCCTGGTGGGAAAGATTGCGCATTCCAATTACGTTCTTAGGTGCTCGACGTTGTGGCTGCTCCAGCGCATTATGGTCGTGTTTCAGCCATGGATGCCAGGCTTGAGTTACGTATTCGATGTGGGGGCGAACATACGCACTAAGCATTTGTCGAAATATAGTGCTGTTTATTTGTCCAAACGCCCATCGCAATGGCCCGACGTGTTGGTTTCCGGTCTACGAGGCCATTTCGGATTGCCCAGAGCAACCCCTAATCGTCTTGAACCAGGACACCCAAGTCACGTTCGAGATATGCTAGTTGAAGTGTATTCGTTCCGAGCCGGTATGAGTAGCTGCCTTGATGTCGAATGAAAGTACCTTGCAAATACCGACGTTGAAATGCAGTAGCTTTTGGGTCGACCGTTGATACGCCGTACCTAGGTCACTCTGAAGCATATGTTGCTCGGCGTTCGCCTGAATCCTGCGCCAGAGCTTGTTATCGTCTGTAAACATTAGGAAGTTTGAAGCGATTCCCTGTGCAAAGTCATTAATAAACACCAAAACAAACGTGAAGACAAGTGGGCGTATGGAGCAGTTACTAATGCAAGCATTTGTGGAGGGGGGGGAAGAGGATGATCAATGTTCCTGGTTTGTGAGGACATGGATCAGTGTAGCAGCGGTCCTCATAGTTGTGAAAAAAGGTCATAGCATGGCCAAAACTTACGGTCCAGGTGACGACCGAGGATACCTTTCAGAGGAATTATCTGATCAATGCAATAACCCGCTGCCCTGTTCCTCGGTACAGAGGTATAACACAGATTTCTGTGCTGACATTTACAGTTTTTATTGGAATATCTAAGTTCGAAATTTGAGTCAACTGACAAAGGAGTGACTTCCAGTATATAACCAGTGCTACCAGTCCCATAATCATACCCAACAATGAGTTAGCAGCAAAAACCTGACGCATACTGCATAGCTTTGGCATGTCTTTAAAACTGATATTAATTTAGAGAACTGGTGAAATAAGTGATGAAATTAATCTAGACAGATTGCACGGATCCATAAGTTGCGACATTACTCGACGAATGCGGATAGGAAATTCATGAAAATTATCATTTTATATCTACAGGTGAAAGGCAGGATCTGCTGTCCCCTTGTTCCTTTTCTCTAGATGAAAAACATGTTTCTTACAAATGGGTCCAAAGCTGAAACTGCTGAGTTGCAAAGCGTCATGTCCGCCTGTGACCAACTTGAAGAAGAAGTCAAGAATCTGAGTGCCAAGCTCGACGAATCGAGGAGATCTCAAATCAGGATGCAGAATGAAAACGAGTACCTCAAACGACAACTGCAAGAAGCATCCGAGTTGGGTGCATCAGATCGGATTTCTGGTCTTCAGCAGTCGGTGTCGCATTTGCAGATTGATGACACGATGAACAGCGTCGCGGTGAATGTCGAGCGAGAGGCGATGCAGCTTTTTATGGCACAGAAAGAGATGGAGCATCAAAAAACGATTGAGGAGTACGACGAGGAAATAGCGCAACTGAAACATCAGTTGGAAGAATGGCAACTTAGAGAGGAAGAATGGAGCCAAACAGAGCGCGAATTAATAGAACAAAGAGAAATGCTCGTGCAAGAACACCAAAAGCAATTGAATCAACTGGAGTCCTTAGTGGAGACACAAAGAAACATCTCACCTCCAGCATCCGAAAGCGCTACCAGTACGACAGTAAGTTCTCCAAATCATGTTCTCAATTGTTGTAAAGTTGTCAGGGAAATCGAATACTATCAAGCAGATAGTGTGACGGATACTGGTGGTCGCGTGGCCTTCCAACCATCAAAAAATACTAGACAACGATCAACATCCACATAAATAGGGGAATTTATTGATATATTTTTGGTTCATTGTTATTAGAATACAAGCCAGATGAGGTACATAGTAATCCGGAAAGCGCTAGACGATCGTTTCGCCCTATTGGGACTCATCAGTAGTGTGCATTTCTTGGCGCTCTTCACGGAGCCGAACGCATGACCGCTAGTGGGTTGTATCACTAGCCAACAGCTTATACCATTAAGCCATGGGGGACGATAGCTGGCCATCATGGGTTGAAATCTAACGACGAAATAGCCCGATCCATCCTCAACTACCGTGCATGACATTGCCCGTGCAGAGAACAGTGGTTGGCCCTCAGGGGTCAGTACTCTGCAGCAGCAGCTGTGAATCTATACGGCGTTTTTAAGATTGTTAAGTACTCTAAAGACTACTCATTTGAGAGATTTATTGGGTTCAGCAAAATTAGATTGGAAGCCAACTAAGCCACCTGCCGTGCCCTATTTCGTCGTGGCATCTTTCCATTGGCTACTTCCTGTTGTAACCTCCAACGGCATACACCTATTTTCATTGCCCCTCATAAAGCGGGTTTTCAAACAGTGATCGGGCTTACTCACGCCTGTCCCATAAAGGACCACATTGAGTTTGATTTCTGCTGTGCCATGTCAGATCGTCTGCGCCTGGTCGAATACATTCTCTCGGGTTCCTCTGACTCTCACAATTGTGGTGAGCTCGAGTTCACCCGAAAACCAGATACCACCACACTGACCGTCTACCTACCTCCGTGGGCACATAACACCGCTACGAGTAAGGAGAATATACTGCAGCGTACGAAAGTTGTGACCATAAATTGGCACGGAGCACTTCGCACCGATGTGCGTGTGCCAAGCAGTATAGGCAAACGTTTTGGTCCGCATAAAGTTTTGGCACAGTATAAGGTCTGCTGAATCATGGCTTAACGACCGGTTGGGAGGTAGAATCCAAAGCTTTAAATGCAAATGTGATCGATAGGTATTACATGTATAGCACGCAGAAGTGTGACAAGTGGGTCATGCTTTTTGGTTGTTCGTAATTCTGAACTAAGTGCGAATTATATGGTTGGCGACATCCGGTTCCGGATTTGCCTGTCATTGCGGCCTCCATAGGACAGCCACAGGGCGCTTGCGCCTACAGAGGAACCATGTGTGGCTTCCGTTGCACCACCCACAGTCCCACCCACACGCTAAATATCCAGTGTAAACCCGAAGGAATAAGACCTGCTGGAATGTGGATGGGAGCCAGGTTTCATCAACGGAGCCGGCCCAAACTCCTTCACAGGCAAACACAAGCACGCAGTATTTGGGAATCAGTCGCACACAATGCGGTGGCTGGATCGTAGTCCGCTCCACACTGAGTGCATGAAACCACTCTTCGAGCATAACACGGCCACAAGGACTGTGCACCCCGCCCCCTTCAGCAACGACTAACTGTCTCGTGGGGTCAGTATGGACGAGGTAGTGGGTAATAGACAGGTAGGCACCTTGTCAACATGCGCATCAAGCGCAGTCACACCGGGGAGGTCAAATAACAACGAACCACTTGAAAGGAAAAGATCAAATAACAGGTATCGAATAGAGCGTTTTGATATACCGACATAACTCCGCTAAATGAGCTTATCAAATAAATTATTTATCATAAAATCTGAGATAAGTTGAAGCTTTAACAAACTATATTCTTAAAAAATGCTACAACGTGAACAGATGAACGAATTTAATCGCAATCTGCTTAAGCGACATGCGTACGTAAAAATGTGCTTACTCCAACAGACCAGTAAATGGCTTAACAAAGTAAGCGTTTACAAAATATAACAAACCAATCACCTGAACTAAAGAACCGCAGCACGCAAGCACGCCGTTAGAGAATCAAATGCAGCTTACCTAGCAACGCTGCACCGGTTCTGCTTAGGTTTTCAGTAGGACTATTCGTCGTAGACGTTAAAATGAGTTGAAAAACTAAGCATTATGTGAAGTGTTCGTCCCTTGCCCGAACTGACGATTGATTTTCAATCGAAATTCCAGGTCGCTGGGCTCCCCAGGACAGAGAGAAGACCGGATCGGACGGGCGGAGGGACAGGGATGTATTAGACAACCACACCGTTTATTATAAAAGTTAAAATCGAAAGTTTATGTACAGTATTTAAAACGCACGTAGAAACCTCTGGAAAGGTCAACTTACGACCAATCAGGGCAAGCCACCCTCATGTTAATTGGCCGCTTCACCCGGTTGGCTATCTGTTAGTCCTAACCAGTACGGTTGGGTTTGGATGGCTTGCCACGCCTTCGCTTGGTAACGGCGAGGGAAGCCTAGGTTGTTCGCTTTGCTTACTCCTTCCTGACACCTCTCTTCTAGTTATGTTGTACGATTCCAGCTTGGGATTGACTTGCTTGGGTGACACAAATTTGCTTCGCCTCTTCTGATTCTGTGCTGCTAGGTTTCGCGGCGAATCATGTGGTTGATGTGTTGGGGCATGTTGGGGAGTCTTCGCTTCACCTGCGTTGACCAGTATATTCTTATTTAAGTGCGCTGCTGATACTGGTTGTTGCAGCTGTTCGCCAGTTTCTGCCTCTAGCAGCTGATTGTCATGTCTCACCCAAATCGCCGTCCCAACCTGGATACCGTAGATCACGTTAGTACGTCTGTACAGCACACGGCCCATAGCCCATTTGGGATAGTGGATACGATAAGCTCTTGCTAGAACTTCTTGGCCAACATGAAAGACTCGCATTCGAGCGCCGTGTCCAATGTTTAATTGACGCTCCATCTGAAAGTTGCGGGACACTATTTGTCCCTTCTTGGATTTGAGGGCATCATGCGGCACACGGATTTTCCTTTGAAACAGTTTCAACCATGGATAGTGCGTTCAGTGTGTGCGAATTTGGAGTTGTGCCATACGTCAGAAGAAATGTGTCAAGAAGCTTCGCAAAGGTAACTTCTTTAATGTTTGCAAGGCTCTTCTGACTGTTTCCATAAAGCTTCCTGCTTGCCCGTTTGAATGTATCTGGTAAGGTGGAGACTTTACCTGGACAATCGCGTTTCCGCGACAGAAGTCAACAAATTCAGCGGAGGTGCACTGTCTGGCATTGTCCGAAACCAACGTATGGGGAACACCGAAACGAGAAAATACCTGTCGAAGAACCAAGACAGTGGCTCCAGCAGTAGTTTTCACCATTGGAATCATCTCTGGCCATTTACTGGAGCATCGACAACGATGAGAAAATGATGACCGTCAATTGGACCCACAAAGTCGACGGGTACCCTTGACCATGTTTCTGTTGGTATTGGTCAGGATTGCAACTTCGTCTTCATTGGCTGTTTAGAGATACTGGCATATCGGGGACAATTCTTGGTTAAATTCTCGATCTGGGAATCCATATAGGGCCAATACATATAGCTTCTTACCAGCGATTTCATGCGATTCATTCCTGGGTGGCCAGTTTGAAATTATTGGAGGACACTCTTGAAGAATGACTGGAATGACGATGTGGTCTGAGAACAGCAGACTATTGTTGACGACTGATGGTACTTCTTTCCGTTGGTGGAACTGTTAAAGCTCCGGCGTTGTAACTGTCTTAGGTCAGCTATTGAGGTGAAAAGTGATCACTTATTTTAGGGTAGAATCATGACGAATCGCTTCCTGTACCATTTCGAACGTTACTGATAAGGTAGCGAAAACGTCAGACACAACTTGATTTGATATAGCGCCGCTCACTATCCACTGACTTACACGTTATTGCCGTGCAGAGGGTAGCCCCCTCACCAAGCGACGAGCTTACCAGAATCAAGCCGCCAATTAACTTATGGCATTATAAGCAGTTTGGTCTGCGTACTGACTACAGAAGACTAGTAGGAGAGTTGAATGGTATAGGTAGAAATTCGTCACATCTAGACTCATTCAGACAGCCGCTACACGCCCGGAAAAGCACTGTACGCGCGTTTCATCCCTTCGGGAATCATCAGCAGTCAGTGGATAGTGAGAGGTGCTATATCACATCTAGTAACTTATTTACGATGGTCGTTGCCGTCCCCCGTAGCTCAGTGGTCTCAACCACGGACTGGCAGCAGTCGAGATGCGAGTTCGAGCCCTACCAAGGGTCCGATGGAATGCGCACTACTGATGATTCCCGAAAGGATGAAACGCGCGTACAGTGCTTTTCCGGGCGTGTGGCGGCTGTCTGAGTGAGTCTAGATGTGACGAATTTCTACCTATACCATTCAACTCCCCTACTAGTCTTTGGTAAACAACTTGATTTGTTTGGGCTTCTAAGGAATTTGAGCAACTACAAAGTCCTCTGGTTCGTGACGCTGTGTAGCAATTACACGAGATAACGCGTCCGCCTGACCAACGTTGTGTGTAGATTGATCTTTGATGACGAAACCGTAACCAAGTAGAACCGTTGCCTAGCGATGGAGACCACTAGCCTTACAGACTGGAATGCTTTTTTGACCAAAAATTGCAACTGAGGGTTTATGATTCGTGAACAGCGTCAATTTTGTCCATATAGCATTTTGTGCCATCACTTGACTGCATGCACTATAGCAAAGCTTCTTTCTCGATCTGCCCCTAGTTGCGTTCCGCTGAGGTGAGTGAATCGGCTGCATGTGTCACAGCTTTGTCCGAACCATTGGAGATAGTGTGGGAAACGGCTGCTCTAATTTCATAGTCTGACGCATCAGCAGCAACTACGATCTCCAGCTCCGGATTGAAATGCGTTAGCAAGGTCAGAACACAATATAGACTTGACATAATCACATGCGGCTTGACATTTAGGAGAGCACAAAAACTTGCGATCCTTTACCAGAAGTTCATTGAGCGGCCCTCGTGGCAGATGCATTTCGGGCACAAAAGAGCTGTAATGACT